CTGTTTTACAACAAATAAAGGTAACGCAGCTTTCAGTGAAGATACAGGGGCCCAAGTCGAAAATGTAGGCACAGATGGAGGTGTTTAAGCAAGTGAAGAGCATTAACACCAACTTAAATACCAACATCAGCCTCTGGTCCTGCCAGACCTGTGGTGGTCCCTCAGGGGACTGAACAGGAGTTATGCTGGTTGTGATGTGCTGCTGACCTCCTGCCTCACTGACCTGATGGGTATTTATTTTCATTTCCACTGCTGCTCCTGGCATGCCTCTTCCTGACACAGCAGATGTCCACTCACTGCCCTGGCCTTTCCTGCCAGCACTCAGTTTAGCACAAGCAGGGTGCAGTTCTTTCAGCCAAAATAATCACAATTCTAGTGGTGACCAAATCACAGTGACCAATACACAAAGAAGGTGATTACAGGAAGAATAAGAATGTTTGCTTTCTTCCTATAAGCTACTGCAATGTGATAGTGTAAGACAGCAGTTCAGCAACACTGTATCAGAACTCTAAAATGAAAAACTAATTTTTTGTAAAAAGGTGCAAAGTTTGAAAGAGTCCACGTTCATACCTCGACCACTTTGATCGCAAAAGGACAGAAAATCTGTTTCTGCAAGACAGTACTGCCTGAGAAAAGCTCCTGAGCTCCTCTACCTCCCCCTGAAATGTCTGCTCCAAGCGTGACAGAGTCAGGAACTACACAGAGTTAGTGTTAAGAGAACCAGCTCTCAGGAACTCCCCCAACTCTTGCTTAGAAAAACAAACAATAAGCTTATTTATCAACTATTCCCTGCATACCTCTTTGGTAAAAACCTAAAATGGCCAGTGCTGGTAAACCATTTGGAACACGAGTCAAATGCTTGCACAAAGTTGTCTTCCCTGTTTCTACCTTAACTTTACCCAGCAGGTATTTTAAAGCCTTTAAAATTTTAAATCAAGGTTGTAAATCTTCCTTAAGATCTTCTCACGACTCTTTCATTTTTGTAAAGCATGGCACGAAAATGCAGAACGGTGCTAAAAATCAGATATGATAAATTAACTTTTAAGATAAGCTAAGAGTATAAATTCATGTTCAGAGAGAACTGCTGTTACTACTGGTGAATATAATTACCATTATTTTTTAGTATATTTGGGAGTGCCCAAAATAGTGTTTTAGTATATTTAGGTTAGCCTTGCTAGTATGATTAATAAGACTTCTGTTAGTATCTGAGCTACTAATTCCAAATCTGACTAATCTTATTTCAAATCTATTTATTGTTGTAATTCAGTTTTGCTCCTCCTGCTAAGTCCCCATGTGCCTGACTGTTCTAGCTCAAGGTAATGGCAAAGTCAGTTTTGTTTATGGAGCTGGGGACATATTTGCCAATATATATATATATATATTTACTATAGATGGCACTCAGATTTTGCACAGAGAAAATACTCTGGAATTCCTATAAATAAGAATCATGCTCACAGCAAGGCATGGACAGGAGGACTGCTACAACAATATTTTTCACCAATGCAATGCCAGTATTCTCTTCTGCTCTTATGGCTAAAAATACAAATAACTTATTAAGAAGTTTTTGAGCTTAAATTATTTAGGACCTATGAATTATTGTTCAAAATCTTGAGGTTAGAGACAAAATACAGTAAAACACAGGCCTTTCACACTTCCAAGTGAATAAGCATTGCAGTTCAGCAAATTTTTGGTCAAGATGGATAAAGAGATCTGTCCCAGTGCTACGTGACCAAGTGCACCTCTACAACAACCCCATGCTCAGGACTTTACACTGAGAGGTGTCATGATTCCTTCAAGCATCACTTTCCTAACAGGACAGCCCAGTCTGAGAAGAAATTCTCTTGTCAAGATCATTCTGTATACTAATTTTTACATTATGAACTATGTTTCTTACACATCTATGGGTTTATGCAGCAAACCACAAATGTATTTCTCATTTAAATAACATTTTTCCTTGCATGACCAAGTCAGTCTATTCTAATGTAATCCTTGAAATACTGGACTTTACATGGCACACTTCTTGTTGCTTAAAAAGCTTTTTCTGGAAAGCTTAATTTCATCTGTAACGAATTAAGTTTTTAAGCAAAAGTTTGGATTAGAGTGAGAAGTGGTGTAAGTGGTAGTACTACTGCAGTCAGAAATAGTTTAGGTAACTTGTCCAGGGTCACAAAGTCAGTGGCAGTCTGTCCAGGGATTACATGTCCTGGTGGTAAAGCCCAATTCTGATCCTTCAACAGCTGGAATATGAAAAAAACTACTTTTTTTGTTGTTTATTTTTAAACTGTCACTTCTGCTAAAAGCAAGAAGAATGCAAATTTGCTTAAATAGCCCCTTTTAGGTATGAGACAATAGCAGGCTGGGGAAAAAGGGGTGCAAGTCTGTGTGAAAGGGAGGAAAAGACAGCAAGGAACAGGGGCAACAACGATCTCAGCCACCATTTACAGCTGCCAGCTCTCAGGACAGCAGCCTGCCTCCAGAACTCTGAAACCCACCCTCAGCAGAGAAAAGCAGTTTACCACAGCCTGCCTGGCTATTTTTCCAAATTACCATTCTTCGTGCCTGAGGAAAAATAATAAAAATAAGTATACAGGAAATATGACTATGCTGAATTAGGCAAACCCAAACAAGAGGTTATGTACAAAGAGGAGGGCTGGCTGGTAACTGCTTTTTGGCTTGAGATAGTTTAACAGGTGGGAACAATGGCTGGGCACAGAGATCTCACCACCTTGCCTTTGTCTTATCAGTCTTCCCTTCTATACTCCAGAAAAATCCTATTTGCTTTGCCCTGCTATGGACTGAACAGATTATCTACCCTAGGAACCTTTATCAGCATCCTCACCTGGCTCTGTCCCTGCCAATTCCCAATAAATCTGCCCTCACTGCAGTTAACAATCTGGTTAAGTAATGCCAGTTGCTGAAGCCATAATTCTTGGCACCAGAGCAGCTTGTATGAAATGCCAGTTTCATGAAAATTCTGTTATTTTAAGGACTTTTTTCCTAGTCATGAATCATGCTAACCAAACTGAAAATTAAGGACACTCTCAATACTGAAAATAATAATCAAAAGAATGCAGAGAAGAAGAAACAACGTATGAAAATTAGATTTCATTATTATCATTTTAAAGTACCAGTGTTTGTAAAACATAAGCATGTGAAAGGCTGAATCTCATGTGATCAACTCAATTAAACATTAAATAATTGCAGCCAATTATGCAAATATCACACAACAATATTAATTTGTTGATCTTTTTTTGAACAGTTTCAAATTTTCCTAATGTTAGACTATCTTATGTCTTAAATGATCAATTACCAGAACCATAACTAAGTGATGAAGAATGGATAATTGCCTAGTTATGATGTACCATACTCTTTCTATGTAAATCTGTTGCAATTAAACAAATAGGGCACATGGAGAAAAGATGTGCAGATGTTCTTTTACAATCTGTTACTAGCTCAGGGAATACCACAGCTCCCTCCTAAATTTTACAAGTGAAAACAAGGAGAATGCAGTATCAAATACTGATTGTGATTTACACATGGTTATTTCTTTCCTCTGGTTAATGGGATAAAATGCACTGCCAGAATTCAGAGTAGGACAGCAGGCAACATCTGAAGAATTTCCTGTACTACACTGACCTGTCAGCTCTCTTCTTTAGGTTTCAAAGTTTAAAACCTAAAACCTATTCACCTGGATTCCACTTGGAAACAAGCACAGCCTCGAGCTGACGCAGAGAGCAAGGCAATTAACCAAGATGTGAAAGACAACAATTTACATACACACGCTCCACGTTTTCATTCTTGCCTGGGAGAAAAGACCACTCACTTCTGTGGGTCATTCCGCTATCAAATCTCCCCATTTTGAGTGTCCATCAGCAGAAAAAAGGGAGGTGTCTCTCTGGTCAGTGCAGGAAACAGTGCACAACACAACAAATGAAACCACCTGGTTCATGGTAAATGACTTGCAACCAATTTAACAGCTTAACCAATTTAACAACTTCCAGGTTTACATCTCAGTAAAAGTAATTCTTCTGCCTGGTTCTGATTCCTTCTGCCTAGTGAACAGATTGCTGCTGGTACACTGAGGCCTCCATGGGCATTTTTGATATGTGGAATCATTTATCAGCTCTGTCACAGCTGAGATGTTCAGTGTTGCACCACCACTTCGCCATGCACCTGAACTTAGATATCTTCACTTTTCCATTTGCTGCTAAAGCAAAGATGAACTTAAGGGAAAGAATAGATTGTTCAGTACCAGTAAGCCACAAATGGTTGCTCATTACAAATCTTTAGAGAGCTCCACTCCACACTCTGGTTAAAGGCACTCTTTAATTTCAATACTGGTCTCTACCCCATGCTGCACCTTGACATATTCCCCATGTTTATATTTCCAGCCATCTAATTAAATAAAAGGACATACTACTAACTAAATAAAAGGAAAGACTACCAGCAGCTTATAACACATAGTAAGATACTGAACAAAGACCAGCACAGGATACAAATTCAAATGGTCACAACACTATGACTACTGTGAGTGAAACAACATTTTGTGTTTGCAGTTGTAGACTAAAGAAAAAATTATCCATCAATTTTTAGCGATAGTTACATTGTCAGAGAGAACCTTCAACTGTTCTTCATTAAAAGATCAGACTGGACTGCAGTCAAAGACAGGAAAAATCATCTCAGGGACCAGAAGAAAGTGACAGCTAAGGAGGGGTCTTCAAAAGGTGACCAAAAGTGAACAGGAAGCCATAAGGCTGCTCTTTAACAGCTGCATAAGGCATGGATGGTCCACTAGAAATTATATTTTGCATTTTTAAGCTGTGTTAACAAATGCCAGTAACTACAAAAGACTTTTAAGGATGGGAGAGATACTGTTGGTCTTAAAAAAATTAAAGTGCTAAATGTTTCCCTTAATACTGGTGCATCTCTACTGCAAACTAGAACAAGAAATGTTTCACTTTTGCTTCTTATAGGACTCCAATAAAGTGTTAATACTCTACTGCAAACTAGAACAAGAAATGTTTCACTTTTACTTCTTATAGGATTCCAATAAAGTGTTAAGTTCCACCAGTTTTATACTGAAGTAGCACTTTGGAACATGGATACAGAGTATGGTTATCCTTTTTGGCAAGAGGTATCTTAAAGCTGTTCAACAAAGCTGTGTGCAGAAGGAGAAAGCTAATAAATATTACAGGATGGTCGTCAGTGAACATTTGCAGAAGTTACTTCCCCAGCTATGGGCTACATGCTCTGTATTGCTTCCAAAGAACCAGGACTGCATGTGGGAAAGCAGCATTCTATGGATTATCTGCTTAACCAGAATGAAATCAGGGCTTGAACCAAACTCCTTTCCTTCCAGACATTTTCTGCTGACAACCCTGCTTGCTCCTTAACAGGAAGGCCCCTCCACAGCACACGTGTCAAAGGAGGCTGGACACAGCAAGCATGGGAAAGGGACAACATTTTTCTGATCTAAATTATGTGAGTGGGTGATGGAAGAAACTCCTCAATCCAAAGGTTTGGTTGCTGTGAAGAATGACTCTATTTTCACAGCCGAAGTTGTCTAATCTCACTTTCCAGACCTCACCTGGAAGGCAACAGCGTGTCTGCAGAGCCCAGCCCTGCTAGGCCAGAGGGGAACTTCATCTCATTTTGAAAAGCCTGACACAGCCTTTTAGATCTTGTCCAGAAGGATGCGCTGAGCTCTTAGAGAGGAACGCACTGCCCAAGCAGCCACTGCAAATCCCCAGGGAGGGAAGGGCAACAGGCCCACAGGGACCATCCTGCAGGCTACACCGACCCAGAGAATTTGGGCTAAAGGCCAGAGTTACTGGACAGAGTGTGAGGGCACCTACCAGGCTATGCAACTCAGGAACCTCCCATACCAGCAGAGTATGAAAGGATGGAGCGTATGGCTAAATTTGTTTCCCAAACCCAGAGCAAAAGGCAGAACAATGCCAACAGAACCCTGTGGGCAGCTAACAGGCCACATCCTCCTGTGACACACGTTCTGTTGGTGGAGGCAGTAAACAAACCAAACTGAAGAGCAGTTGAAGAGCATTTTACAAGTTTCCAGACTCTATATAAGGAGGCACTAAGAAAACCATTGGGAAAGTTCTATTGCTAACATTTAGCACCTCTACCAAGAAGACAGGCTTCTACCAAGAGGATTACAGTAGAAATCAAAATGATTGTGTTCACATTTGCCAGATTGTGGAAACAATCATCCTGGGGAGCAAATTGATACTGGGACTATGCACTGGCAGCTACAGAATTTGTCACTGTTCAGATGTCAGGTCTGTCTGGAGGCTCTGAACTCTGCCACCTTCATGACACCAGCACTGCCCAGTCGCTGTCTTCTCTTCCATACTGAAACAAAGCAAAAAAATGAAGTTTAAGAATAAAAGTTGAAAGACTCAGTGTATGTTTATAACAACTTCTTAGGTCTATCCTCAGAAAGGTTCATTTTCACTGCTCTGGCAGTAGTTTACATTGGTTTTTATGCCTTTACTTGCCTTTGATTTGGGCACAGACTGAAGACAGCTTGCTTTGCCCACATTACAATAGCTGGTTTAGGAAGGAACAGAGCTGATACTCATCACAGATGACACAGAACAGCCCTGCTTCACTTCCATCAGTTTAATGCAGTTACTCCCTGAGGCCTGCTCACTAATTCACTATAACTATGCCCCTGCTCAAGCTCCAATAAACAAACACATTTCATTTTATTTCCTTTTATTGTCAAGGTGGCTTTTTATTACAACATTCTGATTGAACGTGAAATAAAACCATCACAAATACTGCAGAGTACAATTAGGGAGAACTGTAATCCAAAATAAAACAAGTTGTCTTTCCGTGCACAAACGAATGGGCTCAGCAAGCAGAAATGAAAGCAACCCATGGCATGCAGCCACATCCAGGGGAGGATTCAGCCCCCAGGCTGCACTTCTGACAGCTAGACTGGTTCCACGTTCTAAAGCTCTGCCACCAGTCCTGTAAACAAGGCTCCAGAGAGACCCCAGAACACACACAGGGCTCAAGCAGGTAAATAATTCAGAGGTGGAGGGACAGCAGCAGATGGGAGTCCCTTCCCTTAGAGTGTTATACTCAGGGAGCTTGAAAACACCTTCAACCAAGAAACGAAAACTGATTTTGGAGGCTTTAGGCAGGCTAAAAAGATCACTTTCCTCCAGTACAGGTTCTGCATCAGCAGGAAATGTGAGAACAGGTCACTAAAGCAGGGAAAAGACAACAGCTCCACATCAGGATGAGCCAGAAGAAACACACTTCTAGATCCACAAAGGAATGGTGCTCAGTGGGTTCGTGTTTTACTCCTTACTCCAGCAGGCAAAGCTCTAACTGACCCTCAAAATTACCACATCTTCTTTTCATTATTAATTCTGCTGCTCCTGTTCTGCAGTTGCAGTTATTTGCAAATTTTGTTATCTTTAGGCAGCAGTATCATCCAATGCTCCAATACAGAAATTATTGCAGGGGCCACTCTGAGTTGCCATTTGGCTAGAGTTTGCACCTGCCCCGGAATTAAGAGGGGAATGAAGCTGCAATACCACAATGAAAATCATTTCTTTCTGCAAATAAAAGCAAATTTAGCTTCCAGTATTAATTCTTTCAAGGGCTTTGTCATCTCAGGCTAGTCCATCTGATCCCTCTTCCACTGTCCACCACCTCCAGGTCATTCTTTATAAAAATTAACACATCCATGGTTCTTTCCTGTATGTTTTTCACTGCCCAGAGAAAGGGGCTTTGATTAAATGTTTCTTCTCTGCTGTCTTGCCTGCAGTGTTTAAATGCATTTAATAACACGTAGCATAAGCAATAGATCTTATTTTCTATCCATCCCTTCCAAGCTGCAGCTTAATCCATGTATTAAAGGGCACAGCAAAAGCTTGTTTATTCTCAAAGCATGGCTGCAAACCCACAGAAACATGAGTGGCATTTCATTGAGTGTATTCCCAGAGAAAAGAACCTCATCCCTAAATCTTCCCACTCAAGCAGCTATGGAAGAGTGCACTGTTACTAATTCATTCATAAGCACACCATTCATTTATATAATGTATGCTCTTTAATTTGAAGTTTTTATCAGCCTTTAGTAACCATGATATCTATGCAGTGACAGGAAGGGAAATGTGAAGTGCAGTTGCCACCACTGTCCCTCTCAACTGGCATGAGAAATTGAATCAGTTCTGCCCATGAGCTTCCAATTTGTCACTCCAGCTCTGGTTCCACTGAGCAGCTGCTCACATCTGAAGACATCCCACTGAACACTGCACACTTGCAAGAGATCAGTGCAAAACCAGACTTGGAAACACAACAGTGAAGAGAACATGAAAATAACAAAAGCAGCATGTGCTCTACACAAGGGAACTGGTGTAACAACACTGGATATGGAGCCTGCACCTCCTGGTCACAGGTGCTCACGCAGGACATGGTGGTGCTGAGAATTTCCACTTTTTTACAAATTCCCATGGTTCAACATGCAATGCACACACTGCCCCAGGTCAGGCAACAAAACAGCACAGAGACCAGAGCTGTGTTTGACTGCTATTTCTATTGCACTTTATGATCCAAAACTGGAAGATTCTTTGGAATTACAGCCTCAGGTTGTCCAAATGACACCACAATAACCCAATGATAATGCAGAGAGATCTGTTATTTTTTTTTCTTCTGGTAGAGAATACAGAAGATCTTGATCAAAGATTCTCCTTTAACATTTTTAGGATTATTTTATAGTCCACTTTTTGTGTCACAGCATTGTTCTCTGTGTGACATCATGGGGTCCTTCTGGATATGAGCCCATCTCTACAGAGAGAGGAAGGTGCAGAAACAAAACCAGCAACCACTGATTGACTCTTAATGGGGAAGCAACCACCAATCTATTTAAAATCAATGATTTTAAAGATGATTTTCAATGGTTATGTCTTCTAACTCTCCTGTTTTGTTTTGTTTTTTTTTTTTTTAAAAGAAGGAAGAGAACCCAGAATTAAGCATAGACGTAATAGTCCAGCATTTTCCAGGAATAACAAATTTACTCCTGGCACGTAACTAATGAACACAGACTAGGTACACACAGCTGAAAGGTGAAAAGGTCCACATCAACAGGCAAGTGAAGTGAAAAGTCACAGAAAGAGAATGTTTAGTAACAATCCACAGTTTTCCAGCCTTGGCTGGTGGTGGAACACCAGGGTGGTAAGGCAGGAGGCAATGGGCAGGAACTGATGCCCTGGAGGTTCCACCTGAACACGAGGAAGAACTTCTTCACCGTGCAGTGCCCGAGCACTGGACAGACTGTCCAGAGAGAGTGTGGCGTCTCCCTAGCTGGAAATATTCCAAAACTGTCTGGACACAGTCCTGGGCCATGTGCTGGAGCTGGGAGGTGGCACCAGGTGTCCCCTGTGGGCCCTTCCAGCCTGACCCACCCTGTGCTCAGGGGGGCATCAGCCTTTCCCTCAGGGAAAAGCCTGGACACCTTTGTCTTGCACTGCTCACTGCCTCAAGGGAGGAAGAACAGACCACAGGATTACTGGCAGGAACATAAAAATTTTAGTGGCAAATCTAAGAACACTTGGAGCCAAAAATGTAGAACGGAAACCATCAGAGTCAATTTGAAGAAATCCTGGCAATACTGCCAAGCAACTGCTATCAGATCTTAAAAAAAAGGGGACTGTGTAACTTGCCAAGCTCTTCTCCTATCCCCAAATCCCCCACACCATAAACTACACTAAATAAGGAAAAAAACCCAGGCAACTTTAATAAGAAAGGTCGTCACCTGCTGCTCACTGACTTCACCTGAAATGGTTCCTGGAATGCCCAGACATGGAGATAAAGCACAGATTCCAAACAGACTTTGATATTCAGCACATGACAGAGGAGGAAACTGCTTTAAGGATGAGAAGTGATCGTGTGATTGGAAAGATAATGAGAAATGGTGATCAGCTGCCTGTGCCCAGTGAGTGTTTAATTGCCTCACTCATCTCTTTATTGATTAACCTGTACCCATTTGTGGTTGTGGTTAAGGTGTTTCATAATCCTGTCTTTCTCCCTTAAAAAGCAACCTCTAACAACAGTATTAGGTTTCACTGGTAACAGTTGTATCTTGCAACTCTCATCCACCTTCCAAGATGCAGGAAAAAATGACACTACACCTCATCTCTACCACACTTTCTCAAGGAAAGAAAATTGGCAGAATAATCCCACTAGACAAAAGGGTTTACATTATTGTATAATGCCACCTGTAGCATCACTACCAAAATATTATTTTCCATTCCTTTCAAACGTTCGCTTTTTATTATTTTACCTGGTTATAGAAGAGCAAACACCTTACCTGGATATCAGTTAGCTTATTCAGGAAACGGGTTGTTACCTCAGGCCCATTCTCCATAGTTGGGATGTGCAAGTGCTGCCATGGAATAAAGGAGAGGGAGACAAGGGGAGAGAAAGAGAATAACATGTAATAACAGCTTTACATATATATGAATACCTTATGGCTGCCAGAAGTTTTAGTAAGTATTTATCAATATTTGTATTTATCTAGCCCTCCTTTTGAGTAGGAAAGTGTGGTTAGTTTGGGGTTTTTGGTTGGTTTTTTTAAACAGGAGGGTGTTGCTAAGCCAGTGAAAAGTTAGAGAGTTAAACTGTTATGCTCCTGCTCAATAAAGGCTAATCCAAGCCTCCCAAGAGATCTGTCCAAAATGGAGGGGATATTGTGCAGGCAAGAGAGGTAACATTACATACAGCACTTCATTTCAAGGTATATTGTGTAGAAACACAACACTTACATGTACAGTACTTCTCATTCAGCACCTCAATGTCTCAGATTATCTTAGCATCAGGCAATAAATATCAATGCATTTATTTTACTTTATTCATTCAGGAAGAATCACCCAACAGACATTTATTGTACTTATCATGTTTAGTGGACAAAGCACAACCCTTCATGCAGCTGCACTGCCCCTGGTCCTCTGAGCTAACTTTGTGCTGACTAAATAACACCAAGTCAGCTTAACAGGCTGAATGCCTGGGGAGTTCCACCTGTGCAGGAGAAATCTCCCAAATTTTGAGCAGCAGGTGAAGGCAGCTGTGCACTGCCTGGAAACAGAGCTGGGATCCCTGCAGTGAACAAGAGAGGAACTTGAGAGGGAAGGACAGCAGTGGCTCAGAGTCTTTTCTCTCCTCACCCTCCCCAGGTACCTTAGCAATAAATACTGAATAAAAGAAATGTGGAAGAATGTCTTTTTCTGCAATTGCAAACAGGCTGGGAACTGGTTTTTTCTTTCATTTTTCCCTGAACTTGAGATTTTATGTTTTCAGCTATTAGGAGAAACCCCAGATGACAAAAGTTCTCTTCTGACAACCAGTAACTCACTTGGGAAACAACACACTGACACTGTTTATCCTTCCAGGCAGTGCACCTTCTCTATCTCCCTTGGTTTTGGCTTTCAGCTGCAATTAACTGTGATAAAATTCAGAAGAAAGAAGGACAGGGGTTTAAAAAGAGACACTTCCTTACCTTGCCCTTATATAAAATTTTAGAGATGGGACACACAATGCAAGCCGTTCCAGCACCAAACATCTCCTTTACTCTGTTCTCTTCCAAGGCAGCTGTCAGGTCACTCATGGTGATGTATCGCTCAGACACTTTGAATTCTCCCTGCAAAAGAATCAGCAACCATAAAAATGGGAAAAAGTTAAAAAAAAAAAACCCCATTACTGTTTCTGTTTTCTACACTGAACCATTTTCAATGGGATTTCAGCCTAGTGACAATAAGTCAAGTTTTGACTCTGATCTTGTGATCTTTTCAAACATGCCAGTTTCACACAAGACAGATTTTCATCAAAAGAAAATGCCCCAAAAGATGCCAGTGGTCTGCCAGGTGCAATGCTGATGATTAAGTGGCACTTCCCTCTGGTTTGGTGCAGGGTATCAGTATCATGTTAGAGAATAAAAAAGAAGAATTGTTATGGGACACCGGATCTCTCCACTCATGGTCTCCAGCCTGCTGGAATTTGTCCCAAAATTACTCAATGATATCAAGAGAGCCTTTGCATCTCAGCCTCAGACAATTCCTAAGCAAGATACATTCTGTTGATTAATTTCACCTGCCAGGCCAATTTATGAGATGTATTTTTTTAATCTCTAGTGAAATTTCCCACTGTATCCTGCAAACAGCTGTCACATACAAAAATTAACTGCACTACAGGTATGACTAAAGCCATTTGCACTGCAGTCTTAACACTGGGAGTGTTTTACCTTCTGCAAGAGTGGAAAAATGCACAGGAATCAATTGAAGGGATGTGTTTCAAGAAAAAAAATAAGAAATGTCAGACTTTGAAATTTTTATTTCATATAAATGTTTCTTTTATGTACATGGTATTCCTGTTATCCCACCCTAAGCATAACCCCAGCCAAATCCAGGAGACAGGATCCTGGGCTTGATGAGCCTCTGGCTGTGCAGCACCCTTCCCCAGGCTGCAATAAAACCTTTGAACACAGCAAGGCAGAGTTTGCTGCATTTCCAGGTATGCTCCAGTCCCAAGTGTCCAAATCAGCTCTTGGATTGCTGCACTACAGAACAGGAACAGGAACCAGACTGTGGCTGGGCAGGCTGCATGCTTGTTAGCAGAAACAAGGTTGGAAGCATGAGAACTAAACACAGAAACACTGAGCTGATGACTGAAGTGCAGCTACGGTCACGCACGGTAATTCTTTGTTTCCTTGCTCTAAGTGCTGGTACCAGTGGATTTAATGAGAATTTTCATGTGAAATACTGCATGGAGCTACTTTAACAAGCTGGGTATTGTTCTGTGTGACAGGTGTGGGTATTCTGGCGATGCTCCTGAGAATCCCTGAATGAGCACACCCTGAGTTCCCAGCAGGTTCAAGGGAATGCTCAGCCAGTTCTGTCAGCAGCACCAGGCTGCGTGGCAGGGCTGACAGGCTGAAGAGGTGCCGTGCAGAGGGGTGAAACCCTTGAAAGCAGGGTTTCTGACAGGCTGCACACAGCTCTGAGCCGTGTGATCTAGTGGAAGATGCCCCTGCTCACTGCAGGGAGGCTGGAATAGATGGCCTTTAAGGTCCTTTCCAAGGCCAGGCTGGATGGGCTCTGAGCAGCCACGGGCAGTGCCAGGTGTCCCTGCCCATGGCAGGGGCTGGAATGAGATGATTTTTAAGGTCTCCTCCAACCCAGACCCTTGTATGATCCTAGGAAGCCAGACTGATCACATTATTTAATCAAATCAGTGGAACTTTAGGATACTGAGCACCAGAAATGTTGATTTCTGCTGAAGTTGTAACATGACAATTGAAAGCATTACTGCCAAAGCACTCACCCAGCTGCGTGCCAGATCCAAAATGCTCTGCCTTGTCACTCCTGGAAGGATGATGCCATCTAAAGGTGGCGTTGCCAGCTCATTTTCTGCCAAACAAAAAAAGCATTGGTTGTAAAACAAATGAAGAAACAAATAAATAAAAGTTTACTGATATTACACCAAACATGTGGGTCCCTTACAACTCAGGATACTCAGGATATTCCATGATTCTGTGGCAGCAAAAACAACCCCTACCCTGTAAGATGCAACATTTCTCTGAGTTCTCCAGGAACACAAACAGATACTCAGTTCAGGTTAAGTTGTTGTTGAGTGCTTGGAATGTTTTTTGTTCACCTTTCATTATAACTTTTAGGTATTAATGTATTAAATATGTTTTTTCCCCACCTTTTGGGCAGGGAAGAAACATGTTTAATACATGAATATACACATGGCTAATGCCTTGGAGGTTATATTGCACCTATAAAAGTGTAACTGCACTGTGTTTCTACTGCAAACCATTAAATGGTTCAGTCTCCAGATTCACAGCAGAAAGGCAGAGGGAAAGTCATGCCTAATAAACCCAGGGCACATCATAACTCTCCTTGAAAAGTTTTCCCTAATTCAGGAATAGGGGATTTAGCATACCCATTTCACAGCAGCAATATGAAACATTTACCAAAAATTCTGAAGTTCATTTAATGAACCAGCAAAGCAGTGGAAATCTTGCCAACCCTCCTTGGAAGGAGACTTCTTACTGATCCTTTGTTGTAGCCCAGACACCCTCTTTCTGTACTAATTTTCTCTTTACACAATTAGAGCAATCCTAAGAAAAATCCAACAACGACAACAATAATTCAAATTGTTCAGCTGGTTTGGTTTGTGAGTGTTTCTTGTTTGCTCTAGAGCAATCCTAAGGAAAATCCAACAACGACAACAATAATTCAAGCTGTTAATCTGTCTGGTTTGTGAGTGTTTCTTGTTTGCTTTTGAAAAAGAGCAGTAGATAAATGTTCATCTAACCAAACTAATGAAATGGTAAATAGATGGCAAACAATAAACACTTGGTTAAACAATCCATGCTTGGAAAATACTTAAAGCACAGGTCTCTGTGCAGACTTTGTTCTTCCATCTGATCTCTGCAGCAATCAGAGCAAATCTTTTTGATTTTAAGCCATCACATAATGCACTCACTGGTTTCTACCATCAGAGAAGACTGACCTTTTACTCTTTTCAGACAGAGACTTGTAAGACAGTGTCAAATCTGCACTGAGAAGTGAAGACACCCAGAGTCCTTCAGTAGTACTCTTCATATTGTTCCCTAACCATTTTCTTTCCCTACTTATAATCCTTTTTCTTTCTTTACCTTATATACTATCCCTGCTCAATAAATCCATAAACCATGAAGAGCTTTGTTTATTTTTTACCTAGGTCAGATAAAAAACCCAATTAAAACATGAAGGTATATATTTTATGTCCCCTTTCTCCCTGGCTGCAAAAAGATCACTGAGTCCAGGCCTGACTGAACCTTTCTCCAAGGAGAACCTCTCATGAATGTATTTCTAGAGATGCTGTGAATATTGCAGCTGGGTAGAAGAGAGGAACGTGGTGTTTGTCCTGGGTGTGTGGGAGCAGGTTGAGCTCAGCAGCTCAGTGCTGTTTTCAGCACTCCACAAGAGATTTCTGTGCACAAACACTGCCTGCCAGCTCTGGCCTGAGCACATCCTGGGCTGCCCACCCTGCAGGAGGGGCACTGGGAGCTGGGATGGGACAGGGGAGGTGGAGGATAAATTCACTGGAATCTGCTACTCACTATCCACTCTCTCAGGAAATAATCTGTTACCTTCTCATGCAGCCACCCCTTGATTTATTCTCCTACCAGTGCTTCCATGTTCCCTTTATGAGGATCTATACACACATCAGTAATAGGGGTAAAGTGCCATGCCAAAATGTACAGAAATGCTGCCCTAGGACAGGCTGGATGCTCTGCTCTGGTTTGAGTAGCCCAGAGTGCCATTCCCCAACCTATCCCAGACTTCTAATTCCATCAGCCCTCTCTTCTTCCTCATACAGTCAGGAATAACTGCATTTCCTTTCTGGAGTCTGTCCAGCATCACTCCTCTTTGTGGTGCATGTCTGGTCCTCATTCTGGCACAGCTATCACAAGGAGAAGACTTTAAAACTTCCCAAGAGCCACAGGGCTCACCTGATTCTAAACACTGAAAACCTGAAGTTCTGCATTTGTGACCCAGTCACAGTCTAATACACTCCTTTCTTTAACAGAAAACTTCAGATAACGTGGACTTTGATACCAAAGATTGTGATTACACTTCTCTGTCTGGTGATGTTGCCACAGATCTTGTTCAGGACCCGTTTAAGCTCAATAACATATATTAATTGATTTGAGCTAGTTTGAAAAGGTGCCAGGCCAAGCCAGCTGCCAAACAACACTGAGCAGACAGGACATGGAAGTCTCAAAATGTTCCAAACAGGCTGCTCTGTAGAATTTTGTCAAGTGTGCATATGATGCCTCCCAGCCTGGGGCCAGCCAGGGAACATCTGCTCCCCTGGGATCCGGCAGGGATGGCAACACCATCCAACACGGCATGCCAAAAGCTCATCCTCCCTGGGAACTGGTGCCAAAGCAGGCTCCATGTGACATCAGCGTGTCCATCTCCCAAAAAACAGACTGTGGGCTCACAGGCTCCACCTGCCTTCTGAGTTATTTTGATGGGCTTGGATGTATAGCTGCAAAAAGCGGGAGGAAAGCGTTTGAGGGGCAATGTCAGGTGTCTCTTCAGCAGACTCCTGTTATCATTCTACCAGCAGCACTGCCTGCCCAGTGCCCTGTTCAACCTGCTACGGGCTTGCTCTAACAGCAGAATTCCATCAGAGTGTTTAAGGGGGTTTTTAAACCGAGCTCTTCCATGTTACACAAGGGCAGCTTTTGAAGACGCGTGCCTCTGAACACAGAGCAGGCAAGACTGCACTCCTGGGACGCCTTCAGGACTAGCCAGGCTGCAACAGTGCTGAGGAATTCACCCAAATACACATTTTAGCAAAGTGATACATTCCAAGTGAACTTCAGGATCCAGGAGAACCCAGAAAACCCCGTTTTCACTGATATTAACAGCTAATTTCCTCTACCAGCTTGTGCTGGGTCTCTCCTTACTTCCCTCAGGTTTTCCTTCAACTCTTCCCTCATGCAATCACTGCCTTTGCATCCGTCTGTTAATTTGCTTTCCTCAATTACTTTTCCATCCTTTGCTTTGTCCACCACCTTATTCATTTGCTGCTTTCCCCTCCACTCTATTTCTGGGGCTCTCTACTAGAAGAGAAGCTACAATCCTGATTTTGTTAGCACTGTAATTGTACAAGACACTTTTGCAGCACAACTAATGTTCCAGCTACAGAATAACTAGCCTTAAATTTTACCTGATTGCTTCAGAGAATCTTTTAACAGATTTACTTTTTAACTTATGTGATTTTGAAGTGGGGACTATTAATCACCCTTTCAACTGGAGCACACAAATATTAAATCATGCCCAAATACTATTCACAGTGCCTTAGCACTGAAGACAGAAGTAGAGCCCAACTGGCTGCAAATCATTCTGAAGAAATGGAATTTTTCAAAACTGCACACAGATTTCACAGCTAGCATCTTCAGGTTGGACATGTGTTTAAATTTTAAGGTTTTCCATACAGCCAAGCCTATATTCTAGGCAGAAGAACAGACATTGTGAGAGGAAGTGAGTTTCAATGTCAAGAGCTTCCTGGGATAGTTACACGCTCTGAAGAAGCATTTGGAAGGGACTGTAGGGTGACTAAATTTTTCACTTAGTGAACATAAACTATAAATGATCAATGAGGTTTTTAGGCAATAGCAGAGATCCAGTTTTGGCCATATTATAAGCCTCAGAGCAGCAGTGGGAATACAAGAACAGCATGGAGCACGTCCTGCTGTTTTACCAAAAACTGAGCAGTTTTTTTCCCCTACTCCCTCCCTGATGTTACAAACTAAATATTTTTTCAGGCTCCTCCTGCCATGCAGGACAAGATGTCACCTTTAGGCACAAAGGCTGCAGGAAAAGCCCACTCCCACTGGGAGCATGGCTGTCCCCCAGGCCAGGCTTTACTGGGATAAGCCTCTGCTTCCAAAGCAGGGAGAGCAGCTCAGCTCCCAGCAGCGAGCTCAGAACACACAAAGATGGGCATTTGCTTTTGATGATCATCTGCAATTTCTGCCTCACTTTTTTTTGATCCCTCTCAGCTGCAGCAATGGGCATTTGCTTTTGATGATCATCTGCAATTTCTGCCTCACTTTTTTTGATCCCTCTCAGCTGCAGCATAAGAAAACCAAAGCTGGCATAAGAAAACCAAAGCACAGCCTGAGTGGGTGTCCTTTGTGAAGTGACAGAACACAGTGACAGACACGTTCCAAACCCCCGTGCAAAGCCACAGGCAGGCAGGTGATGACACACTGGCAGCTTGGGTGATTCTCAGCCAAAAATCCCACAAATGAAGAGCTACTCAGCACCCTGGGAGACAGCAAAGTGCTCCACGAGGGTAGTGCCCATGTCCTGTGAAAGGACAGGTCTGCCAGCAGCCAGCCCTCTTGGGTGGCAGGAATTCCAAGTTGTTTGCTCCAGCCACCTCACAATAGCAGCATTGAGCCCTGCCCTGGTGGCACAGTGATTGGCAGCCCTTTGGAACAGCACCGTGCTGCAGCTGCCTAATTCCAGCATATTCCTGCTTTAAGGACAATGAGAACATTGAATTCTAATTATGTCCCCGCTTCAGTGTCCTTCCCTGGGCAGAACGAGCCAAAATCTATTTTCCTGTTTTTCCAGCTAAGTTCCACCAGGCATAATTTTGGCCATCTATCTACACTGACAGATCAACTGCTACTGCAGCAGCAAGAAAATGTCTGATATTTGTCACTTCATTCACAAAGCTTCACAGACTCACTCAGCACTGAGGGACTGTTATTCCTCTTCTTACAAATGTGGTAAAGATTTTGCAGAAGAACAAGCAACACAACTGGAGGTGGGAGGCAGGTAGCTGGATCCCAACCACACTACATTATCCAAGGCACACTGCTATCCCCACAAAATGCTGCCTGCTTTCTGCAGACAGATGACAGTTCTCAAAGGTACTTGTGGCACTACAATGAAATCTGTCTGACCCCTGCATCTGCTGCCAGGAAAAAATTCAGTAACATTCAGAGATGAAAATCACTTTTATTCAAGAAGAAAGCCTTCTTGGGGAAATAAAAAAAAAAAAGGAAGAGAGGTCTTTTATTCCCTTGCTTGTAGTCTTCCAAACCAGTTATCAGGTGCAGCTATCACAGCTATGACAAGCACTGAACACTTGCATACCCAGTGGGTGTTTTTAGATGCCCATATAGTTGGCTGTTTTTAATAGTTAGTTTTAACAGTTTAGCATGTCTCTTGCTCAGAGATGCCTGTGGGTAGAAAGAGGTAAAAATAGGTTCAAGAATGATGATACATCCTGAAAGCATCTGTTGGGCATTATTGATACCTGACACTCACTGACAGGTTTCTCTCTCCCTGCCACCACTGGACAGAACTTCAAATTCTTCAAAGAAAACGTTTTGGACTGGATGCTGCAATACTTCTGGATATGGCCCAGGAATATCTGACGGGCCAGGAAATGATGATGGGAGCCACTCATACTCAAAGCTACAGAGCCTGAAGGGCTGCACAGCCCAAGCTGCCTTTTAGCCCATCTGCACTGCTTCTGAGCCAACACACCACGCTGCTGGCCCCAAGCTGAAGTGTGACCTTGTGCAGGGCTGAGCTCTGCCCTCTGAGCACGGGACCAGCCCAGCAGTTTGGTCTGGTCCCAGCAGGCAGCACTCACAGGTGCTCCAGAACCCCCTCTCTCACAACCAGCACTCACCCAGTGACTTGCAGAAGAAAACAGGCACTTTCTTTGTTAAACCATCTTCATTAAGAAGATTGTGATCTGCGTTCTAACAATCATTTTGTGGACTACAGTCCCAATCATCTGCTCTGTTAAAGTTTTCACTCTTTGTGTTACCATACCTCCATCTTCATTTATCCAGTAGAGAAACAGATTCATTGTTCCAACTTCAGTTATTTGGTGATCTTCTCCATAGAGCCACAAAACCTGCTGGCAGCCAAACTCCAGGGCTTCTTGCTGGGCATAAATAGCAGAACCATAATTCCTTCAGGGCAAAAAAAAAGAGCCCAATGAGTTATGAAGGCTGGGCACCTTCTCAATTTAAAGAAGATTTTGTGCACATATACCTCATGAGCAAGTGCTCTGCAACAGTCACTGCTTGGCCCTGGGATATTTTCACTGGAAATATTCCACCAGTATTTTACTAGATTGTCTGTACCTAAAACCCAAAAACTTTGAAGGGCTGAACAGCACCAACAACTCAAACATATCCATCCAAATTGTATTACCATACCTCTTGTTCCATATACTGGACATTGCAATTAATGCAACTGAAAACCCTCAGAAAGCATTTATCTTTATTTAGTGGTTGGCATCATTTCCCTCCAGGTTTTGGGATCTTTTGGTGTTTTTCTTGGGTTTTTTTTTTGTTTGTTTTTTTTTAATTCATCTACCTCATGTCAGATGAAACTCCTGGAGCACAAATAACACCAGAGGTGAGAGGTTTTTTTCCCTAATAAAAGATATTAAGAGAACCTCACCTTCAGGAAATGCAACTGTGTCTAGATTAATTCCATATTCTTTAGGAGCAAATTTTTCTAAAATGCTGCCTACAGATTGAACCTGACTGAATAATGCCTGCTGCTTTGAGGGGGGAAAAAACAAAAACCCTTTTTGCTTCCGATCTTCAACAGCCTTCAAGATGCAAAGTCATCAGCTCCAAAATGCTGACTACACTGAAGACAAATTCTCATCTCTGGGCACAAATCAAGTCAGTAATGACTCCAGACTACTGTTTTTCACAGCTGATGTATGAAGGATCCACAGGAAACAATATATTTCTAGAAGTAAGCAGAATCTCATTTAAAAAATCTCTTTCAAAACCAAGACCTCATTTAAAACCTCAAGAACAAAATCTCATTTTAAAAAGTCTCTTTTTTTTAAAAAAAGAGCAAATGTTCAGAACATCAGCTTGAAAGAAGGAAAGTTATTTTCCTGCCCTCTGACTATTTTACCAACTCAGCTGAGCAGCACTTGACAGCTACTGACTCCTGCCTGGCAAAGAGACTCCTGGCTAGGAGAATCCAAGGAAAGAGGTGAGCAGCCAGAGCTGGCAGCAGCTCCTGCACTGATGATGCAGCACAAAGTGCAGTTCCAGTGCCAATAGCTGCAAGGGCAAGAGCCAAAATACCACATGGACACCTTCCAGGTGCAGCTCCTCAGCTTGAGATGCTGCAAAAAAAAATCAACTGGCTGTAATATTCAAACAAAAATATGCAACTGAGTTGCATAAGTAATATTTGCCAAGTAGTGAACTCTGCGTTGTAGCACGTTGTTTATTTAACTGCTGCACTTCATGTCTCTGTTTCTGCTGGATTAGATACTTCACTAAAATCCCAAACTGCTTTGGGAGCTGTGTGGAAAAGGCAGGATGATGTTTCCTTACCCTCCCACTTTGCAGTCTCCTGTTCCCCCTTTCCAGGCTCTCACGTATTTTGGATCTGCCCATAAGGATATTGGATTAAAGCTTCCACTTGCAAAGTAAGGGCCCACAGGGCTCAGAATGACATACAGCAGGGCTTTAGTCGGCTTCTTCACTCCAAGGGAAGGCTGAAAATAAATGTAAACAAATCCAAAGTTACTGCTGTCCTTCAAAGATCAGGGGCTGCACCATCAGCTTGTCAAACACTGCTCTCAGTGGGACTGCAGCATGAGAGGGCTTTTACCAGCACAGTGCAGAGTGCTGCAATGAATAAAAAATATTTCTATCATTTCCCCCCCATCCAAGCAACACAACATCCCTAATTTTATTTCCTGTCACCATTCACTTACAGCCATTCCATTTATCTATCTGTTATTCTAACACTCTCAAACAGTTTTAAGTTTGAGAATTCAAAGATCAGCTAACAGTCCAAAGTGCTGCAATGAATAAAAAAATATTTCTATAACCTTCCCCTCCATCCAAGCAACACAACATCCCTAATTTTATTTCCTGTCACCATTCACTTACAGCCATTCCATTTATCTATATGTTATTCTAGCACTCTCAAACAGTTTCAAGTTTTTGAGAATTCCAAGATCAGCTTAACAGTCCAAAGTGCTGCAATGAATAAAAAAATATTTCTATAACCTTCCCCTCCATCCAAGCAACACAACATCCCTAATTTTATTTCCTGTCACCATTCACTTACAGCCATTCCATTTATCTATCTGTTATTCTAGCACTCTCAAACAGTTTCAAGTTTTTGAGAATTCAAAGATTAGCTTAACAAAGTGCTATACAATTATATTAATACAAAACACTATAATACAAAATAATAGAATACAAAATAGAATACAATATATAATACAATATAATATATAATACAATATATGAATATAACAATATGAATTAATCATACCAGAAGCCCACAAAGCCTTCCAGGGGAAGGAGTGGCAACAACAGCAGTAACAGCAGTGGAGAAACCACTGTCAGCTGCATTAGTGAGAAGAACTGTGCAGTGCCAGCTGGCATTGCTGGAGTTGAGTGCTGGCTTTCTGAATGTCTGTGTGACAGCTGAAATTATTTGCCTGCTAAAAATAGCTCACACAACAGCCCAGGAAAGAACCAACAACGTCAGAGTTTTTTCTGCCCCTCATCTCTGAGAGATGGTTTCTCACACTCCAAGTCATCACCATCAGTACTTGAAGGTGCAGGTGAGAAGTCTGGTGTTGGCCAAAGTTCTCCAGGTGCTGAAAGGGTTCCTTGGATTTCTGTCTGCCCTGCTGCTTCAGGAAAACTTCTGACAGGATTCACTGAGAGCTTGCTATTTTTGCTGATGTGATCATTCAGAAGATTGTGCTTCACGGGTTTCTGATTGGGGTGATTGATAAACATGCAACCTGGAACACCATGTGATAGTGGAAAGGCCACAAGGAGTGGCTATCCTGAAACAAAGCTCGGAGCAGAAGAATTTCCAAAAACAAAACTGGGGTAAGCACCCCCGTTTTAATATCAGTACCTTATAGTCACTGAGTGGAGATTCTTTAATCTGAAAATCTGCAGCTAGTTGAAAAGCATTAAATTAATGGAGTCCTAGAACCTATGTGAAATGTAAAATGCTCACGTATGGTAACTACTCACAGACAGGGATATTGCAGGAGTTTGGCTTACCTAGTTAGGGACCTACATTCTTTAGCTTCCTTGTCCTATGCTCTACCATTGTACATTTCCGTCTTGCTACTGCTGAAAAAAAAGAACCCTGAAGGATTTAATAAAATAAACTCTGTTTCTAATTCCCTTTATCAACACTACAGACTGACTCACACATGAAACTCAGAGAGGACACATTAACAGCTATTTGCTAAGGAGCCCCTTAGAAGCTCAGTTTTCAAGAATAATTGACAGAGGGGCTAGTCCTCAGCTCTGCTGAAAGTGTCTCTTCTGAGATATCTTAATTTACAGGGTAAAATCTTCCAAAAACTCTTATGTTCAGATACGACTTGAAATTACAAAATGTACACAGCAAGCTGTGATCCATCATGTTCTCTCCGAATTATTAGGATTTTAATATTGCCATGACAGGTACAACTATCCTTTCAGCACAACCCCAATTAACAAGCATTGCTCCATTCCCACTGTGAGTAGTGGGAGGAAACTCAGTTTATTTTCCGTGCTCTGAACCAGTGTGCCCACTGAGTGGCAGTGTGGTCAACCTTAAATTCGTGCTGTGGACTCCCAAGTAAAACCACAAATCTGCCCCCAGACTTCATCCTGTCACCTACTGACTGCTGAATATCTCCCTGTATGGATGGAGGGCTTTGCCTCGTACCTGAATAAACAAAAAAATAAAAAGAGAGGGGAAAACAAATGTTGCACACCTCAGTTCCAACGAGGGTAGGACGGATATAGAGGCTGGCAGAGGTTGAGTAGGGCACCCACTCCTGCTCCACTTCCACCAGCTTACGGATGCACTCCAACAGCTCCTTCTGGTCAAATGACTGGCAAGGAACAGAAAGGGAAAAAAGCAAATGGAGAAATAATGCTGGAACACTTTGTAGTCCTCACATGCTTCAGGGAATAGCTCCTCAGGATAAGCAACAGTGACACGCTGCAGTGGTTCACATCTTCCTTGGGTTCATTCTTTACAGAATTTACTATCCCATGGTCTCAGCTACTGTGCCTTTTTGTGCAGTATCCCAAGTGACCTCCTCTGCTCCACAGTGTCCTCCTGAGATGGTAAAAAGGAGCCACTGACCCTTCCTGCCTCCAAAGCATGTGGAGAACTCCCTGTGCAGCCAACTCAGCCGGGCATACAGCACCACCTCTCCTACACAAGAGTGCTCTGCTTTACAACTCCGAGGGCCAGCAAGTCCCCCAAAGTTCCCAGGTTCTTACAGCAATTAAGCCAACAAGCCTGGGAGGAAGTCCACTGGCCAAGATACAATTGCTAAAAGCAGCGTTAAGTTACTGGCATGATCAAAACCAAAGGCACTCAAGAGGCTGAACAACTTAACTGAGGTGCAAAGAAGAAAAGGGAGAACATCAGCACCAGAGCAAGTCAGACAGCTGTCTGCATGCAAACGCCTGCAGGACAGCACCCATCCCTAAGAAACACTCTGAGGCAGCAGGGAGGCAACAAGGAAAGCAAAACACCCACTGTTCTGATCTTAAAATAAGCACTTAAAGGGTTTCCTTCAGTGAGTGAGATCTGTTAACGAAGTTTTACTGCGCTACCAAAGGCTTGAGAGTGTTTGATAAACAGTATTAGTGAAAAGCTGTGGAGATGTGCACTCAGAGTGAAAAGCTGCTCCGAGGAGCCTGTTTGAAGGAGCAGGAGCTGCCCTGGTACCTACTGGCAGGGTTGTCCTCAGGGCTGACCGTGCCATCCTGTCCATGTTGAGGGCCGGCCGGAACAGGCGGATTTTGCCGTCCACGCCTCGGTACGCCTTCATCCCCTCGAAGAGCTGCCGGGCCAGGGAAGGGGGAGAGAGCAAACAGCAACTCAGACACCTCAGGCCGTGATGATCCGTGCCCACGGCGCAGAGAAAAGCTTCACCCTCCTGCTGACAGCACTCAGACACGGAGACGCTAACTAGTGAGTTCTGGCAATGCACTCCAGTGAGAGATTTACCTGCAGCAAAGGCAGGTCATCTCTGCAGCATTAACTTCAGAATTCCTCATCACAACATCTCTTTTTTTTTTTTCATCATTTGGTTACAGCAATTAAAATTTGTGGCATGTGTTTGGCTTAACAATTCCCTCACTTCCTTACTAATACCTGAGTCAAAACAGCAATTTTGCTTACATAAGGGACCTACAGAATTTCACTATATATATATATACACACACATATATATGTATGTATGTTAATTATTTTTAGAGCTCTGTCCAAAACACATCTTTGTTAGGAAGTATAGAATAAGGTAATTGAGAGAATTCTTGTAAAGTTCTTGCTGTAGGTGTAGCAGGAGCTGGCCACTTATTTCCCCCTCATGCCCCTATCCTGTGGGATGGGATTTAGCCTGCATGAGAGATGCAGCCTTACTTTAAAGATAAAAATCATGAAACTATTTTCTCTACATACTTTACAGGGAATTTAAACATCGTTATCCCATCAAACTGCAGGATCCAGACAACTGGAGTTGACAATCAGAAATCCTTATATCCTATCAATGCCCTCCCAGTGCCTCCTAACCACATCAAAAACCACACCCACCAAATATCCAGTTATTTTCAGTTACAGACTGGTAATTTCTGGTTATACTTATAGACAGAAAGCACATGTACTATACAAGCTCACATTAATATATATGTATACACAACTCTGGTTTAGATTAAGTATTAAAGGCTCACTTATGCTTACAGACAACAGGTCAGATTCTCAGAATTTTATCTTCCAAAGCATTTCTTTGTTCATTACATTTCAGTGTAAGTTCTATGAATTTAACTGCATCACTGCTGTCAGCCTCCTCAGGCTTCTCCTCCTCTGACTGTTCCACAAAAAGTGGCTGGAACTGCACCCTATGTGGTTGGAAGTCTAAATGTCTATATTATCTAAATATCTGTATTGTCTATAATATTATCTAACATTATTTTTGTTTGGAAAAAAATAATCCTGTATTTGTGCCCAAGTAATTTTAACAGAGTAGGTTTCACTGTTATCAAATTCTGTATCTTTCTGTAAGAATCAGTGAAATGCAATCTTTGGAAACCTTGTGTGCAGTTCCATGGCAGAGCCAGGTCCTTCCACATGACAAATTTTAATTGGATTGTAACTGGGTTGCAGAATCCCAGCAATTTTCCTCAGGCTGTGTGCCAATTATGTAGCAGAACCAGAATTAGAACCCAGAACTTTCTGCCTTCAAAATCTTAGTCCTATGGCAACCTTATACTTATAAAAAGCTTGGCACAATTTTGAGAAAGAAGCTGTTCCTGGGGTAGACACTGTAGCCACAAGAAAAAAAAAGTCTTTAATAAAGGACAGCATAGCTGGTCATCTAGCTGATATTTTGGTATGATTTTTACTGGGCCAGTCACTAACTGATAGCACATGGTTGGAATGTTGCTTTCTCATCACAGAACACATTTTTCCCCCCCACCCTTCTCCCAAACACATTCACAGAACTTTTAATGAGAGGAAAAAGGGAGGAATGTCACTACTAAGAGCTGATCAATGGTTTGACAGAAGTAAGAATCACATCATTACTGAAACACAAAGCCTTCTCAAGATGTTAACTATTTTTCTCCAAAAAGAAGTATTTTTCATCTTCCAGAGCTCAGTAAAACCTTTCACTCATTAAAAAAGGGAGACAGTGATGTGTTCCAGAAATGTTCAGCTTTAATGAAAGCAACTGCTGTGGTTGCTGGATGGTTGGTTGCTACAGTGGTGTGAGAACAGCACTATCTGTACATCACAGGAGCTGGATCTGGAGTTCAGCAGATCCAGATTACCACACTGCATCATGAAGGGCAAGGAGAAAGGGGAGGGAATGCCAAACTCATCACTTTCATTATACCCACTGTGTATTCATTGAGCCACAGCAATGACACCAGATTCTCCTCTCTCTGTCCTCTTGGCTAGAGGAAACGTGATGCAATAAGGGTAAAAGAATAAAAAAAAAATGGGAAAAAAAAATAAGAGCATATTCATATTAGCAATGATTTCAGACCAGGCCAGAGGCCGAGCATTAAAGCAGTGTGCTACTAAGAGTGAAATACAGATTTGGGACTCCAGCGTGGTTTCTCACTTCCTGGGCAGATCAAGAGCTGCAGCCTCAGTCACAGGGACCTGCTGTAATTTACACAGGACCTCTGGAGGCTTGGTGACTAGATGAGGAAAAAATCAGTCAAAATAAAAATGGTGAAGGCGGCAGCTCAGGGACAACAAGCAGGGAAAGCTTCCCTTGTACCAGTGGTTAAAATACACACAAAAAAAAAAAATTAAAAAGGAAAAAAGGCAAAATAACTCCCACCTACCCAGAAGTGGGAGACTTTGGCTCCCATTTCAGGTTCTGTGCCCTGCTGGGGCTCCCACACACGTGTGAGCACAGCCCAAGCTGCTCTGCAGGCACCAGGGGCAGCAATCAGCTAAGCAGGGAAACTTTAACCACGCTGGTTTCCGACTTAACACTGCACTTCCCAAAGTTCCCTGCTGTCTCTTCCCTCTTCAAACACACTTGGACACAGTGAGTGCATCAGATCTAGCCCTGAGCTCGAGGGACTGGTTCAGTTCCAACAAGCAGCTGCCTAGTCTGTCCTGCAATGCAAGCTACCAGCTTTAAACCAGCCTGAAGTGACTTTTACAGAGTGCATGTTCAGCCCCCAAATCAAAGCTACTCTGAGAAGCTCATGGTCTGACACACATCAGAGTTAGCAACTGGACCAACCCACTGTCAGTGACCGAGAATGGTTTTTAAAATAAATTTATTACCGCTCAAGAAAGAGCTCACCTTCCCTAGGCTAGGATTTTAAGTGTGCTGGCAACCCCGGGCCACAGCTGCTTCTGTGTTACACATAACCCTGCTGTAAACAATGCAATTACTCTGGAAGAACACCAGGTAGAACAAGATGTAACTCAATACTAATAAACTTAAGGCAGTAATACTCCTTGTATTACAAAACTGTGGCTAATAAAACAGAAGAGTGGTTTCCAAATCAATGCACTACTCACTTCCACAGCATAATGCAGGGCTGAGGAGGCTGGATGTAAGGAGAGGTTCTCCAGAGGCCTGATACAGGGTTTCTCCCATCCTGAATCCAAGGACCATTCAATTGTCAGCATGTTATCAGTGAACACAGTTCCAAACACCAGACCAGTGGGGTCTGGCTTCTCCTTGAATGTTGTAGCTGGGGTGATAATCAAGTCGGAAGCCTGAAGGAACACGGAGACAAGAATGAAGTGTATCAAAATAATGAAGTCAGACTGATTCAAAATTATTCTGCATCAGTAAGCAAGGACAAGCCTTAATATTTTCTCTGTAGGGATATTTAATGACATGATGGTTAAAGGCAACTAACCTCTTAGTAGCTGGCAAAATAGTCATAAAGTGCACACAAACATAAACACAGTGCTGTTATACAAGAAGTAGCGTATTTTGAAATTCTGTTTAAGAATTAAGTTAAAGAAATATTACAAGATACAAACCCAGAAAATTAGCACATGAAATCTCTTGGACACTTAGGTTAACACCCTTGTACAAGTTCCAGAAACACCCAATTGTTAAACCTTAGAACATAAGCTGATCATCAGAAATTAATCACCATCACAACTAAGCAGATGTTACACTGATTTTCCTTTAAATACCTAAAACCAATGTGAGAGATCAGAGCCAGCCAAGTCACTTATGCCACAATAATTTGCTCCTTCAAACACTTATCCTAGGAACATCCCATTAGCAAAGAGGCTAAATGCTCCCCTGCACCAGGGACTGCAGAGACTCTCTTATAAGCCCATGACCAGCTGCAGACAAGGTTTTGGCTGGGATAGAGTTAATATTCTCTGCGATAGCTCCTGTGGTGTGAATCATCCTAAAGAACAGCAGGGAAATAAGGAATGCAGACCTCTGGCATGTCAGTCCCCTTTTATTCACAGGTAGGGGCTGAACAACCAGAGAGGGCAGAGCCTTGATTCACCCTCTCCTTTCTCTTCCTATGCTTCCTTCTGAGCATTTAAACTGCTGCTCAGAGGCCAGGCAGAGTTCAAAGAACCATATTCAAAGCTCCATTTTCCTTCCTAACGTAACTCAGAAAGCACTGGCCCTTACTGCAGACCCCCAGGTGAAATCCTGCTCCTCTGTGCAATAGACAGCTCAGAATACTGATCAAGTAATTTGCAAAATGATTATCTGATCTAAAAAGGTGTTTCTGCAAGACATTTATTTCAGTGTCTTGGACTTCGCATCCCCTCTATGCATTTTGAAAGAGACAAAACCAGTCCCAAGCTTTTGAAGAAGTGTACCCCCCATCTCTGTAAACAACCTAATTTTCCAGATGTCTAGTGAACAAAGACTCGTTTCTTATGGATTAGTTGTTTTGGTTTAGGTTTGGTTTTTTTTGCTTAATGGCTTAGATGTGAAATTAACTTAGAGCAGGAGCACATGAACAGCTAAAAGCTTGTTTCAACTATCTGCAATTGTAAGGCTTGTCTAGATATTAGAGTGCATTAGTCTGGTTGAATTAATACATAATCTGATGAAACAACAATTACTCTTCTTAACTCTTCCCTTTATTCTTCTGATAGTGCACACTCCAATGGGAGAAGCACCAGCTAATGATGTCCTGAAACTAATTTTACCTGGCAACCTCTTAGCACTCTTACCAAGCTTTAGGAAAAAAAGGCATCAGAGAAGATGTGGATCAGAGTAAAAACCACAGAGAAGTGTTTGCAATTACCCACAGTGCAGGACTCAGCTCAGGAAAACAATTACAGGGGAGCAGGGATGTCAGTGGGGCTGAAGTGAGTGTGCAGAACACAGCTGTACCTCTGGGTTTACCTCTGCAAGAGCCACAGCTGCTAAAGAACTCTCCCTTCCCGTGCTACCAACTGCTTCCTGCCTCTCAGGTCACTTTCATTAGGTTAATTAGGGTACAATAAAGTGGCCTGGGGACCATAATTATAATTTGAAGCCTCTTCTCTAGAACTCCCATCAGTGTGCTGATCTCCCTTTCACGACTCCCTTTGCTGCCTCCTCACTGGTGGCAGCAAAACGACTTCAAAGGCATCACATCAAACAGTTTGTTAAGTTTGCTGGGGTTAACAATAGCTTTTATTTAAGGATGGGAAAGGATTTTAACCTGGCGTTTCTCATAAACCCACCAGCAGTGCAGAGGAGCAGCAAGCTGAACAAGTGAAGAAGCACACACAGTGTTTCACTCTGAGCCCCTCGAAGGCAGAAAGCCCAGAGAGGCAGGAGACCCCGACCCTCACCCAGAAAAGCAGCAGCCAATTCCCAGCCCACAGGGCTTCCTGGAACTGCACAATCTGACTGTCTGCTCTTTCTCACCTCCCTCAGAATCTGGCCAAAGCAGCTTTCCTTCAGACGCTGTGCCAACACCTGAGTCAACAGCGTCAGGTACAGCACCTGACCCTGACAATTCCTTCAAACAACAGCAGGAACAGCCTGGCCAACACCTTAGAGACAGGCTGAACCGCACAGACCAGCAGGGCAGCAATCGCTCAACAGGCAAAAAGGCAATTGTTCTCATTCTCATTATTTTCTCGTTCTTATAATCCTGTTAAGCTCTCTGGAGATCCACTTTTTTTGGTCATTACTTTCTTAACATCCTTTCTTAGGACTCTATTCCTTCACCCATTATGTCTTTTTCTCCATTTTTTTACCAAGCAGTGCAAATTAACAGCATGCAACAGCACCCAAATCTTTCAGAATCTAAATGCTTTTCATGTCAAGGCAGTATCAAGTGCTGCAATGCATTTGGTCTCCTTTTTCCACGGAGGAGAACACACTGGGAGGAGGATCTGGAGGGTCATCCTTGGAGTACTCTCTCCCACAGTGTGGTCTGCATTTAGTATTAGCTCAGCCTCTTCTGGGTGCCTGAGAAGTAGGACACCCTACACAACACCTTACCTGGCTCACAGACCCCTTGGGATTTGGGGAGGGAAGGCAAACACTCAGAAGAACACACAAAAGGGAGCAGAGCAAGGCCAGCTGACAAATGCCAGGGTCTGATTAATCTGATTCATTAATCAATGCCTATTATGTTAACATCACTCTTTAAAAGATTGTCACTGCTATCACCTATGACCTTCACAAACAGCAATTTACTTGCTTCCTTTGCCAGCATTCCCCAAGCCCTAAGAGCAGCATGTTAAGGATGCACTAGGGATTGGATTAGCTCCCATCCAGATCTCCACTGTTTGTACTGCCAACACAAAGGGGAATTTTCAGCTAGCCTCGTGTTTTGTTTGCTTTGTTTATCAAACATGCTCCCAAGCACCTCCTGATGCTGTTGCCTAATAAAACCATTAACCTGGAAGGAAAACTGGTAAATGCTGCACAAAATGGATAAGGGAGATTAAAAAAAGAAGTGGATGTGGCACATGGTCTAACAGAGTGCAGCTATTTGGCACCTGTTTTCTAAAGTAAAATCACACAGTCCCAAGCCTGCAAAATCTCCATGCCACAGCAGAAAGGGATGTAAAGATGTCCCTCCAACATCCCAGCCCAGGACACTCTGGAAAGGAATAGGAAATACCAGATTGCCCTGCCTGTGGTAGGCAAAAGGGAGTGGTATGGAAAGCAGGTGCTTATTGTGGATTTTCAGGGCTCATATGGCAACATTAAACCTGCTGCCCCCAAGAGACACCTTCTGAGAACCCCCCCAGTGATGAATGAACAGTGCCTGCTCATTCCAGTGCAGCTTCCTCCAGGCCAAAGCTTCACCCAGCCCAAGTACAGAAGACACATTGTGACCTCATGAAACTAAAATTCATCATTTGACCGAAACAGATCACCTCAATTATGAGCTGGGCCAATTAAAGGTGACCTGCTGGTCCATGTCACTTCCAGTCAAGGCTGTGACAAGCCACCCCGGTGCCTGGCTGAGCTGGCACTCCAATGCCTGTTCCACCCCACCTCTGCAATGGCTCTGTGTGGATTTGGGGCTGACACAGCCCCTGGCCAGAGCTGCTGCTCTCCTTGTGGCATTCCCACCCTTCTCACCCCAGCCAGCCATCCCAGGTAGGTGCAGATGGCAAGGGCAGATTTTGTACTACGCTTTCTAGGAAGTTTTGGCAATGCCTTCCCGAACAATCCTTGGCTGCAGTTATTTGCACTGCACTGAAAATCCCAGGCCATAAGCTGTGACAGGTCTAACTCATTTGACACACCCAAGCTTCCCTAAGCACTGTGCTAGACCAGGCATCTCTATCACTTAATTGAGTAAAACCAGACCTGGCAGCCCCAGCTGTAAAATAACTCACAGGTCACCTAAAAACAGCAGCAAGTTTCAGCAGAGATCCTCAAAACATTAACATGCACCCAAGTGAGACTGACTGCAATCTCCTCTGATGAAAAAGTAACCTCCCTGACCTCCAGTCCAGGTAATTAATTCAAGATCACAAGCAACTGCAATAATTTTTTATCTTATGCTGAATTTGTAAGCATATCCTAGGAAAGATCAAGGCCTTCTCATGTGAAAACAAACACAGAAGCACAGGCAAAATCGAATTACTTGTTTTGCCCTTGCACTTGAGAACAGCAGTGGAACAAATCCTGAGAAGGAGACAGATTACAAAAAGCATAAGGAATTACTGTGATGGGGAAAGGTAACAAAGCATAGCTGAGGAGAGCTGGAGAGAATGAATAAAGTAACATTTATGTAAGCTATCCTATAATCCCTTTACCATCAATACTATTTTAAATTTACAACAGAGCCTGAGGCTTGAGAATGGAAAGTGTGCCAAGATATTATAATAAGATTTGAGGAGGAAAAAAAGCCCTATTTTTACTACTACTACTTTCACCAAAAAAAAAAAAATCCATCTTCTGCAATCCCAGGGTAAATATCAAAAATAACAGATATCTTTCAACATAAAGCTTCCTTGAAACTTCATCTGACAAGTATGCTAGCACATGTACTTGGACTGAGTCCTGGAATCATTGCATCAGGTTGGCTGCACGTTGGGTAATAAACCACAGAAGAAATGACAAAGCAAAAGAGAGTCAAGGCTCTGAATCAGCTGTGAGACAGTCATGGAAACAGCAGGAAATATGGCAGGAAGGACTATGTCCATCCTCTGCAAGGCATCTCACCCAAACCATTCACAACAGACACTCCCCAAATATTTGTCTCACCAAACAATGAAACCCTGCCACACTCTGCAAGAAAAGGAGGGCAGCACAACCTCCTGCT